AAAATAATAACCAACAAAACGGTGTCATTTGTCGGTCCACAGCACGATACCTGCGCTGTATACTACGAGTGTAATTTAATTAACAAAAATATATTACATTTTACTATTGTAGTCATTATATTGAAGTGACGACTGGAATTTGCTTCCGTCGTTGGACAATTATATTACGAAACGGAAATAATGTAAAGAAGTTACTATGCTATACAATTACACAAAAACTTCAACGATCTCGATTCGTATAATATAATATTATTATACGTAAAATACGTAAAATCCTATTATTATTTTTGATGTACAGAAGAGTAGGTAATAAACTAATAATGAATTCAACGTGACTCTAGTGCATTGTCAGTCAAGACGTGAATAAAAAGTTGATTACAATTAACACGTTGACAAGAAATGAAAAATGCCAACGTTATTACAAACAGCAAAATACAATTTCATAACTTTAATAATATGTATAATTTATATATTTATCTACGTAATATACTGTACAATTTACACGCGTAAGCAATATGCATTTCAATAAAGAGGGAACGCACTCGTGAATTAATATATTAAAATGGACGAAAAACCTGGGAGAAATGTATTAAATAGAATCTACACTGATGGTAAATGATTATTATTATTATTGTGCTACATAATACATGACAAAGCCAGTAGGAATTGAATAAATATAATATTTAATGATTTAATTTTTTTTTTTTTTACTTAAAATAACCGTCATGAATGACGAATGCGTTTATTTTAAATATTATTTACTGATATAATAATTATGCATAATATAATAATGTACATAGTAGTATTGGAAAAACTAATTTAATTATCACTCTTAAGAGTACCTATAGTCCAAGCTTCGGATCGTATAATTATATTAAAACACGTTCATAATATTATCTACAGTTTCATCGGAATGTTAAAATTATCTAAAATAATTTATCAGAAATATATGGTAACTATGTTCAAAATATATACTAATAATTTTGTGAATTTGACACAGATTTTAGTTCTTCATTATTTTTTTTTTTTTTTTTTTAACCGTATAATTTCACGACGTGATATTAACTTTGACTAATGCATCATTTGCAGATAAACACGAATAATTGTACAGTTACTCTACGCCACTTTATAGTTGGAAACATCCGACGACAACAACGGTTAATTAATTTCAACGGAAATTTATCGATCCAGTGTTCTCTGACCCAAAACATTGAATATTATTGACCAGTGCTGTCTGGAGTTATGTGATCATTAAAGATGTTTTGAAAATTACAATTGTAGCCAATCGGTATATATAGGTGAATATTTTAACAGTTTGTTGTACTGTTTATAATATGATGAGTATAAATCGATACACACGCTTATAAAAGTTATAATGCGTTCAAATGTACTCGAATCTTATGCATTAAAAATAATATAATAAAGGTATGAATAGAACATAGGAGTTGGTACCCAAAAATATACCACGTATCTATCTGAGTATACATGTGCTAATGTAAAATAAGTATAATGCTCACAAAATCATGATTCCGATGCCTCTATTATGTGCACGAGCTTGAACCAATAAGATATTAGATGGATCGGAACGAACGCGAGTTAAGAGTACAAAATAACATACAATTCAAATCATTTGCTTCGTGTCTGCCTGTCCGACTGCCGGGCACAAAACTACACTGAATCGGTTAACCGGTGTTTCTGCAGTATTACAACGTAGGTATTAAATAATTATAGCTATAAATAGACGTATTATAGTGGTTTGTATATTATGGCTTACAGGTCGACGTCCGTTTATTACTGTGTTAAGGAACGTGTAATATGATCGTAAAGTGTGCATAATTATTTGCCATAAAAACATCTTCATTATATCATTATATATTATATTAATTATTATTATTATTATCGTTGTTGCCTTTATAGACTAAAAATGATTAAAAACCATTGACGAGAAACTAGTTTTTAAGATGACACCGCAATAATATCGGTATGATTATCTTGTAAATAAACGTGCAATTTATTTATTTATAAAAGAAACCAACTGTATAATAATGTATAATAGTAAGTATTGATCACAATAAAATTATAAAATCGCTTTAACATATAAAACAAAAATACAATACTGTTGAATGACAATATTTTCATGGTTGATATTAATAGAGCATATATTATATGTAAGTATTATACTAGTTTATAATAGTACAATGGAAATTAATAATGTGGTTTTTAATGTAAACATCAATATTCTATAGAGTATATATACGTTAAATTTTAAATACCTATCGCATAAAGCCTTTGGTTTCTACTTTTTTTAAATAAAAGAATAAAATTATTACCAGATGTTTGCTATTTAATTGTAATTATTAATAATAATATATTTAAAAAAATTCGGTTACAATCATTTTTAAGAGGTTAGCTTGTAAAATAAATTTCAAATTAAACAATTGTTATTTTCAATTAATATAAAATAATAAAAATTGTAATTGTATGAAAACTTTATTATACACGATAATGTACGAATATATCTGTCTTTATTGTATTTCGTCTCAATAGTCAATCCGTTTGCAAAATAAAATATTAACACAATATAACTTTAATTTAATTATTAACATGCAAAAATTGTATAAAAATACTTTTTTATTACTATACTTGAAATAATAATGTATTAATACGTTATATATTTAATAATTTAATCAAATTATTGAAACCATTTAGGAAGTCCTAGAAATATAGTAACATATTTTTCTCGCAATATTCATCGTACAATGACACCAAATAGAAATACTATTAAATCTTATAGATTATTCAATATATAAACATTGGGAAAACCTTATTGAGAGTATTATTTACTTCCCCACATTTTGGAAATATTTGACCTAGATATCATAATAGCTATCACATATTAACGTTCCAATATTAATACTACGAATTAAGCGAAATTCTACGTCAACTTACCGTCCTGCGAGTTCAGTGCAAATTGCAAACCTCTTGAATTATTAATAAGCTAAAACTATGTCACTTCCAGTGACTGACTTTTTAGTTTTTTTTTTACGGTAAAACCATAAGCATGTATCGTGACAATGATATTACTATAAATGTTTCTTTACAGTTTTACAGTAGTCTTTACAGTATTAGTGGCTTATTTAAACTAACTTCCGAAATACAAGAAATGTATATTTATACTTGAATTAGTTTTTATTTTATATTATGTACCTAGTTACTAAAAACAAAAAGAAATAAAAGGAAAAAAATAATTTGTTAAACAATAAACACAAATTATGTATTATATCGTTTTCATGTATGATTTGTGATTACAAAATGCTGAAACACAATACTAAAGAATGTTTAAGTGAAGTTCTTAATTGATATTCAATTAAAATAATACAAAACTAATCATAAAATTTATTTATTGTAAAAATGTTATTCTTACAACTTTTAAATATTGTTCAAATTTTCATTTAATAAAACCAAATGAAAAACAAGGATTTCAATATTTTTATCATGTTTCAAAAGTTTAACATTTAATAATAATAATAATAGATATTTATTCAACCCCCCCCCCCAAAAAAAAAAAAAAAAAATAATAATAATAATAATAATAAAGATCAAATTATTATTTATGACACCTCGTGAAAATTATATACCTATATATTTCTTAAGTATAGATCTGATGGTCTAAATTAGTATTGAGTCATACAAATAATGTGGTAAATTACCAGCGAGGTTAAATATTTTATAATTTACCGCATACTTTTACTTAATACATACCTACCTAATATTAGGACATTTTATGACAGGAAAATATAAAAGTTTCTTAAAAATGATTCATAAAAATTACAAGACTATCACTATTAACCAATAAAAATAATAATTATTAGTTGAAATTTTAATTTTATATAAAATAAAATAACTATACAGATGTCTTATAATATTGTTGAATAATTTTTAAATGTCAAACATTTTACAATTTAACAAGTCTTTTTGTTGAAGAAAAACTAAATTATCACAAAACGCAATTTTAAGATAAAATCTATTAAAGTTCAAAAAAAAAAAAAAAATACATTATATTTATTCTTGAATTTGATTAAGCCTAACTCATAATTTTTTCAGTTTTATTTCTAAAAAATTCATAATTTATTAGAGAATTACATTTGGTTAAAGATGAGATCTTTACTTATATTATGATAAAAAAAATAATTACTTGGTTTGAAGAATAATAAATTTCAATCATATAAACTAAAGGTTATTCGTGTATTTTCAATATCTAATTTGAAACACATTACAATATAATTAACAAATCAACAACAATAAAAATATTTTTAAGTAATACAATTCCAATAAACAAAATATATACAATTTTATAATGTACTCGATTTATAAATGTATATAATGATATAAACGCCATTAATTACTTTATAATTTGTTGAGTTCAAGTTTAGTATACTACACTGGGACGAAATGATTGATTTTAGGTCTATGAAGTTATCTGTAGACCTCTAAATTTAAAAAAAGGATTAAAATAAAGGATAACTATAAATAATATGAAAAATAATTAATAAGATATTTAAGTCTTAAAATAATATTCTTAGAAATATTGAATTAATACTAAATAAAATGTATTGTTTAGCGTCGTAAATTATAATATAACCCGTTCATACATGCCCGCGTACCTATGTATATTATATGTATACATGTATTATGTAGACGGTATGTATAATTCATAGTAATAATAATAAATTATTTAATGAAGGTAGTACGTTGGTAACCAAACTTAGTCAAAGTAATTCTCTTAAATACTTATTCGATTAATATCTTAAGCTACACAATTGTACAAAAATAACTGGCCTATGGATAATTAATATACCCAGTCCAGTCGATGGTGCCCCCCGTGATGATCACACAAACCATATAAAATATTTTCTGGAAGCTTAAATAATAAAGTAGCGTATTGAAAGTGATATTATGAACTATCATAATAATTATTACGGCCAGTCTTCAGTTCTTACCTCGGTGTAGAAATATGTCGGCTTTATCACAGGTGACCGGAAAGGGACGGACGCGTCGTCAGAGCAATTTAATTTGGAAATGCACGAAAACAAAAAAAAAACCAGGCTTCTGGGACGACCGAAATATTTGCTTCCAGTAATCCACTAATCGTAGACAGTGGCCGATGCGCAGTAGAGTAACTTTATTGTTATACCCGTCGATATTACTGTTATTGTCGAGACGAACGAAATTGCAATATTACGTCTTTGTGATAATAATTCTTACGCGCACACGTCAGAGGGATTCGCGTTTGGAATATTACAGTATACTAAGGAGCAACAAACGTCTTGCGGAACAAACGTCTTGTACGACACTGAGGCAGACTGCGGAGGTGTTCTTAGTCGTCAGCTGCGACTGCGGTTGTGTCGGCGGCGAGGAAGAGGAGCTGCGGCGGCGGCTATTGCGCCACCACCAGAAACCGGACATACCGCGGAAACCACCGCGACGACCAGCCGGCTGGCTACGGCTGCTGCTGCTGCTGTTGCTGCAGGTCGCCTTCCCCCCGACCAAAGATTCCGTTATCCCTCCGGCGGCGGCGTCAGCGGCGGTGACCCCGAACCGGTGGCGTGTGCGTTCCGCGTTCGTATCGCGTCCGTATTTCTTTTTTTTTTCATTTGGGTTTTTTCGTATTACTTATTCTAGAAAGACACCGAAGTATACTATGTGAAATGTTCTGCCAAAAACAATTTCAATATGAATAATGTTTAACAGTCGCTAAATATCCAAGCAATAAAATTACATAGTATAAGTTAAAACGAAAAAAAAAACAAAAAAAAAAAAAAATAATAGATTCGTGGGAAACGTCCAGTCTAGATGCACTTGTTTGTAAATGTATGTGTGAAACGTATGACAGACTTTAAAGCGTCTCATTTAGATTTTTTTTTAATTATCATTGAATACTGAAGACAACTGCCTGTGAATTAGATCGCACGCAGAAATAAGTCGGACGGTATTTTATAACAATATATAATAATATAGAACTATATTAGATACTACTCGTATATTAGAGACTATTTAATTTAGTGTTGCGCAGTGTCTTATCTATAAACTAAATAGTATCATTTGATTTATTACCTTCGATTAAAAAATTATTATAGAAAACTTTATTCCTAAAAATGTCGTCTTCTGTGATATCATTAAGAAATGTATTAAACATATTTTCATGGTATCTATTTCAATTATCCTTCTTCTAGTTGCAGTGGCACAGGCGGTAGGATATAGGATTATTTGAAGCAATCACTTCATATCTGAAAGCCTTTTGACCACTAATATTTATTAGGGGTAGTGGTAAAAATATTTAAAATATACAATACGCTTCAAAGCCTCCACAACTTCACGTCGCCACTATCTAGTTGTCTCTACAGTAATTTTGATGCACCATTTGTTTATGCACGTACATTTTCCTATTTTAATACTCTTAAAGCTTTTACTACTCAATAATGTCTCCAATTTATTTAAATATAAGTACTTCACATAGTTATTAGTAGGTACTTTTATGTATACCCGAGTTGATTTTAAGTCACATACTGAATGCTTTCCAAATTCTTAAAAAAAAAATCTCATCATTTCAGTTTCTTGATGCATTAGACATTAATACTTCATAATTTTATAATATAACTTAAACATAATTACTATAACTATTACTACTTTAGTTAATGCTTATATTTTTTTTTCATATTTTATAAACAAAGTACTTAGTAAATTAAGATAAAATAATAATGATTATCAGTGGATCAAACCATGTGGTTTCAGATCATCCGGTCATTTTTTATTCGTATTCAGCGTCTGATGTTAGTATTTTACTAAAGGATTAATATTTGTAAGTATGTACCTACCTATAAAGCCTGATAATGACTTTGAATTTAGATTACATACTATACGCTATGCATGCAACGTTTGATCTATTTAAGGTACTCACCGGGAAATAACATAAGTGACATCTCATATGTTTTTTAAGACCTCATTTAAACTGTTATTTTCAAATTAGACTGTTAGAGAGATTATACCTAAATGTTGATAATAACTTAAACCTGCCCATTATCAAATTATATTAATTTTAACTAGTCCGTGATTATTGTTTAAATCTTACATTTATATTAAAATAGTAATAATTTCTTGTTTCTTTGTATTGGTGATTCACCAAATATGTTCATCTACTTTTTAAATATATATAAAGTTTCAAATTTTGATTTTCCTTATTTTTAAGTATAATTAAGAACTGTATTTAAAAAATTCAAACTTTTCAGGAGTATCCTAGGGGCTTTTAGTAATACATACCTCAATTTTTTAAATGTGGATTACCATTTTTCCCAGTTAATTTTTAGCCATATATTTTTTTTTTTTTTAATATTTTAGTATCTCGATTCTTAATAAAAATTCAAAAAGAAGTTTTAGACTTATTTATATTCTAAGGATAATTTTATTATATGCCTAGACATGTCCATATGTTAAGAAAATCTATAGACAACGATGCTTTGCAAAGTATTACAGTTAATATTACTTTATTAACATTTTAATCACTATATAAATATAATTAATACAATATATCTATAAAAAAGATGTTATATTATTTTATATGTAGATAAAACTTTTTTTAAGGACTATAATATGTATATATTCCAATAACTTAAAAACTGCCCGTTCAAATTTTAATTTAGCTAAACCAATATTTTCCAAAAGACCATCAATTATATAAATTATAGCAAAAAAGGTAGATTCTCATCTGCAAAAAAAAGAAGTTGGTATAACCACAGTACATAAAAATATATTATAGTGTATATACTATATACATTTTACTTTGGTAAATATCAAATGTATCTATATACAATCTTAACTAGAAAAATTGTTAAATTGTTATACATGTTGAATAATGGTATCAAATATAATTTCTATATCCCTTCAGGACAACAATGAAAATTAAATGTAGGTACTGGCAGAAATTGTAAAAAAAATGTTCTTGATAAGTTCATCTGAAAAAAAAAAATGTATAAAAGTGTATTTAAATGATAATACTAACTTAAGTAAACATTCCATTCAAATCTTTATTGATAGAGAATATGTATTCTTATAACATGGAAGTACCAGATAATCTTTCTATTAATTTATTTTTAACACTTTAGGAAGTATCAGGAATCAGGATCAACTTTGAATTTTTTACCATCAAAATACTCAATTATTATCTTATTTTAACTTAAATTGTGATCCATATAGACCAGGTGTTCCCAAACATTTTTTCCCGTAAACTACGTACCAATTTTTTAATTTTCGTAGATAGATTTCAGGATTCTTAATATTAATTTTTTTTAAATAAATGTAATGATGTTTTTGATAGCCAAGATAGAACTACTCATTAGATAATTTTTTTTTTAAATTATTTAAGCCCAACATTTTTTTTTTTTTTTAATTAATAGTTAATTAAAACTAATTTATAGAATACTATACTATTTATTTAACTTATTTAAAAACGTTTTATGTTATAATGATTCTCTTAAATATATATTTCTTTATTTTTTTGAACTTTGAATAAATTATATAATATTGCTCTTTTATACAGTTTTTATAAAATTTTGTGAGCTTTATTCTATACTGAAACAAAATATAGCTGTTTTATGATACAACCATCAAAATTGATTTATTTAACAACTTTACGCATATTAAAATCATTAAATAATAAATTTAATGTCTTATCTTACGGAAATAGACCGTTGAGGCAATTACAGTTGTTCACAACCCGTAAAAACTAACGTATTGTAACCTCATTTTTCTTTCTATTTAAAAACATTTACCTTCTTTAAAATGTATAATTTGGATCAATAATCATCAATACATCCTTTAAAAATTACCAATGAAGTATTATCTGCGTACAGCACGTTTCCACAGTTTTGAACCAATTTTCTGTTCATTGTGATGGATAATTGACACCTTCGTGTGGTGTGCAGGAAACAATTGCATTGTGTGAAGCATCAAATATCAGTTAATTATGTATCGTATTCCAGAACAGTGATTATTTGATCATTAATATTGTAACACCAATTTTGAGTGTCTCACTCACTCGGAGCAAAATTGGATTTGAAATACATTTGTAACAAGCCTTAAGTCTTCTAATGATTATACTAAATTACTTTAATTTCTAATGTATTGTATATAATGTTGGTTAGAAATTATTTATTTACAAAAATAAATCTAAATATGATAAATATAATTAAATGTTAAGTATCAAATAGATTGTGATAGAAATATATAAAAATATCAACACTATAAAATTATGATAAACAATAATAATTAATAACATATAATATTCGTATATTATGTTCATGATAAATATAAATAAGTATCGTTTGGAATGTTTAGATATCAATCTATTTGTAGCAATAACACATGGACACTAAAGTATCTAACAACTTTTTATCTGTGTATTGAATACTGCTTTTTCTGTAATGATGTAGTATAATTATAATATATTTATTTTGCTTTTTTTTTTTGAAAAGCATAAATTTTTTTAAATTAACCGAGAGTTTACAGTTTTAACTATAGCAGAATACGTTTATTTTATAATAAACTAAACTTAATAAAATTCACTTAATTAAATATAATTTTATACATTCTAACAAAATCTTAAAATGTTATCAATATACGTATAAACATGATTTAGTATATCGAAAAAATAATAATAATACGTTTTGTGAACATTGTTACATTTAAAATTTAGCTTAAGATTTTTCTTTCTTTCTAAATTCTAATATATTATTTTCTAACCAAAAAAAAAATATTTAAAGTAGAGTCCTACATTTATATAAAATAAGTAATAATTGTCACGAAATGTTTTTGTAATGTTGTATTGTATTACGTCGTTACATACAAGAACTGACTTCCGACCATTGAAAAATACTATAATATGCTAAATTTAAAAAAAAAATGGAAAATAGGATACCGCTCTCTATGTAGTATAAGTCGAGTGGGTCACTGTAAAAATTAAAAATTCAAACGCATATAAAAAATTAATTTGACTTTTCAATAAAAAATATTTTTTAATATAGGTTGAAAAACTTGTAAAGAACCTTGTATTCAATTTTCAAATCTTAATATATATAAAAAAAATTTTATGAATTTCTAACTACAAATAATTTAAATATTTTTGAAATCTTAAGAAATCATTGAAATTCTAAATTTCAACGCTTATACAAAAATATTGTAACTATACATTTCTTTTATGAAAATTATTTATTAAAGTTTGAAGCATTTTTACCCAATGAATAGTTTTTTATAGACAATTAAAAAAATTGTTAGGTTTATTAATAGCTCACAGAGTTAATATATTTCTAAAATTTTATTATAAATAGAAAATTA